CCCGGAGTGAACTCCGGCGTCGCTGTACCTGGTCCCCCTGGACCTCCTGGTTTCGCCGGCAAACCAGGGAATCCTGGTCCAATGGGGCTACCCGGAGACGCAGGTATTCCAGCGAGGAGTGAAGCGACTGTACCTGGATCACCTGGACCACAAGGTTGGTCTTTGTAAAATTATCGTCTTGGATTGAAATCATTTTCTCAGTGAGGATGAACTGTCCAGATTAATTATTCTGATGAATTTTTTTACTTCGAAAATTTCTGCATGGTTGCTTAGTTCCTCGAAGAGATATTTGTTGGAAACATTTATTGTTTTCTGTTTTCGAATTGTATCTGGTGACTGTATGCAAAGAAATTCACTGATGTGTTTTGCAGGAGATATGGGACCACCTGGACCAGTGGGTCAACCAGGTCAGCCGGGTTTCGGTGGTGGACAAGGTCGCCCAGGATCACCTGGTCCTCCTGGCCCGCCTGGTTTGTCTGGATCTGACGGTCTGTCTGGTTTGCCCGGTATACCAGGCCAAGCAGGTGCTCCAGGAGAGAAGGGTATCTGCCCTAAATATTGCGCTATCGATGGTGGAATATTCTTTGAGGATGGAACTCGTCGTTAGTGATCTTCAGATGGGATGTCAAAATCACGGCAATGATAGTAGTCGAATAAAAATTGTCGATGTAGATGTCGAATAAAAATTTTCCTCAATTGCTTCCCTGAGGATTAATGCATTTCACAAAGTTCGTTTGTTTATGGACACAACTCAATCGATTCTTCATAAGTCATAATATTTGATAGATTGTTCTTTCGACCACAAAATATGTTACAATAGTTTAAAATCGAGAGCTGTATCCGCCTGTTTGTTGAAATGGCGTAACCGAGTGAGGATTTCGACTGCAAACTACAGTATGAATAGACGAATAGGTACTTATGGAGAAGCGATGTTATTACTGAATCAGAGTATGAGTATGCTATTATTGAGAAGGCAAAACTGCTTTAATTGAATCGTTCGATGAGCACTTGAACCTTCCGCGTGAATAGAACTGACAGTGAGTTTGACAGCTGATTACATCTATTCCAATTCGTGCCATACGTGAACATTTAACATCTTTAAAGGAATCTTTCAATCATGTTGGAGACCTAAAATGTTTGAGTGATATGAATTATTGGTCACAGAAAACTTAATGTTCTAAATGTCAATTGGTGACAAGGGTTTTTTGGCGACAAGGGTTAAATTGATGACAAGGGTGACAAGACTTTTTCAAAGAAAAACAGTGCTGGAGGATAATTTTTCCAGAACTCAGAAATTTATTTCCGAATTGCACAAATTCAAATTGAAATAGTGATGTAAAAAGAGCTGATTCGATGGTGTCCTCGAATGAATGCCCTCAATGCATATCGATCGCTATGAATGATCATCATCAGCAATGTTGTCCCCCATTCGCACTAGAATGTAACAACGGCGATTGTTATCTGGGGTTGATAATAAAGATAGTTATCGGATAGTATTAAAGGACGAGTGCAGAGTTTATTCGATGAGCGTTCACATGGCAATATGAACAACAACTTTCTTAAGTCATAGAAATGGTTTCTAGGAGGAGTGCCATNAAATTCCTTTCGCCTAGTACTATTCAAAATTCCATGTTACCCATCAGGTAGAAATATTAATCTAACGAACAGTATGCTAATAAATGCAATTTCCACTCATACGTAATGCTAAAAAGCTCTTCTATTCCGCTCCGGCAGTATAAACAAGCGTGTTCTGCAACTACAATAACAATGATGATCAAGAAAATAGCAGTATTGATGCCAGTAATGATCTGTAATTATGGCTCTTTTCTACTGTAAGATTACGTAAGATGTAATCAACGAGATATTTCAACAAGAGACATTATTTACCTTGACGCGTCCGTTACATGCCCTCTATTCGAAGAAAGAAGAACATTGTTGATAATCCGTTACAGCAATAGGAACGCATGCAGGGTAATTGAGTGTATCATTTGAGTGACCTGATTTAAACAATTGTTTCGTGTTGAATCTGCGCAGCTTGCAAACGAATTTCTGAATCTTGCAGAAATTTTTCTCCAGAGGTAATACGCTTTTCTTTAGTTCCAAAAAAGTATTGAGAACGTTGGTCGCTGTATTTTTTCACGACATTTTTCATCTTTTCAAAAATTTTGACCAAATAAATCAAAACTGATTAGATCATTTGATTAGATTATGCTGTTTTCATACAACATTGCGACTTTGAATCGTTTGATTAATTTTCGAATTATGTGCATAAGTAGAATTGACAGTGAGTTTGATCACCTACTTATTTCATGCCACATTTAAACATACTTTCAGTACCTTCAAAAGGATGATGTTTCAGCTGTGCTCACGACTTTGAAACTTCAATCATATGAAGTGACAATTAACAGAAAACTTGACGTCCTGAAGTTCAATTGGTTGCAAGGAAAGGAGTAAAATTCCTGAAAGGAGAATAACGCTGAGAAAACAAATTCTTGAAGGTGATATTTGTCAAGCATGAAGAAGGTGCAAGAACGTTCCTTAATACTGCACATCATCGCATTGCTAATTCTTAGCAATATTCTACGATGCACGATCAATGTGAACGAAATGAATCGATGTGGTTATTGAATTTTACTCATTTTCGATTCCTTCTTTATTGTCACTGTTATGCTTGCTTTCTCGACCTGACAAAGATGCTCTGTTCGGAATCAACCAAAAACTTTAAGGAGAGCAGTTCAAGTTGGATGATCTGATGAATGACCAAGGATTACGTCGGATCGTTGATGAACTTGGCGATTATTTTGGAGTGATGATGTTGAATACTCATGCACTCAATATCACTTTTAATTGGCTGTGCAATACGGCATCAATGGAAAATGTCCATAATCGCACACTATTCTTCACCGTTGACAGACACGCTTACGATGTGCTATCGGAGACATATCCGCGTCTGCATATTTTCCTGTGGAACACACCGTGCTTACAAGTGAGCCATCATAATCGCTATCATTATTCATTTGCATTCATCATATCAATAATAGCAGTCCACTTCGAGAGTAGGTCACTGAGAATTAGTTCTGTGGTTGAAACGCATTGTTTGTTTAGCTTTATCGAAATTAATAGTCCTTTTAAACGTTTTTTTTGGGTTATTGCTGATGAGGTATGGGTGGAAAGCTACAGTTGACTGATTTTGACCGCATCTTAATTCATGCTACTAACTTTCTAAACATATTTTGTCTCGACGAATATTCGACGTGATCATGTAAGGAGTGGGTTGCTCTAGTGACACGAAGAAGGGCTCGGCTAAGTTCTGTTGAAAGTGGTGATAAATTAATTGGCGGAATTAGTTGGAACAATAATTAAGTTCTAGATGTTTAGAGGCGTTTCGAGACCATGGATGCGACCTATATGAGTTTTTTCCTGCTGAGAACGACGTTAATACGTGCACTACTGGGGATGAAGCGTTCATTTTGGATGATTCAAGCAGATACTATTTGGCGGAAAAATGTTTATGTTGCACACGATTGGAGTGTGATCAATGCGAACGTACTTCTAGATCAACAAGGTGCGTTTATGTTAAATATGAATCATTGCACTCACAAGAGGAGGTCATGAACTTACTCCAACATTTCGGGATGAAATATATATCGTATTGTAGGACTCATATAGCTGATTATGAATATGCAAAAATTTTTTGCGGAGCACAAGGGGAACGCGAGATATGGCGGGGGAAAGATTTTCAGTGCATTGAAGTGAGATACTGAATTATTGTCAGAACTATGAATCGTTAACATCAACAAACTTGATTTCTCACTCTCAATTTCTCACTCTTGATTTCTGTTTTACGCCCTCCAACAGTTTTCATCATATTCCTTCCACACTTAAAAGCAAGTGTTGAACAAGACGAGAGAAAATGACTTCATGAAATTTTATCAACACTGTACAGTGGATGGATGATATCACAGTTTGCCAAGAAATTATTTTAGGCTACGACGGATCGAGAGAGGCACGTAAAAAACAGATG